AAATTCGAGCTTTTTTCTAGTCATACTTTTTTGCTTTGTATTTTTTAAGGGGAAATGAATATGCATGAATGATAAAAATTGTCGCTGCTTGGCAATCTACATGAGATTTATTACGATTTTTACGACACTTTAGATATTGTTTATTTGACTGTGAATTTTGAATTAACATTCTGTTACAATGGAAATTCAGCATCAAGTGCTATTGACCCATAAACTAATGCTATACTTAACATAAGCTCAAGCTTCTCAAAAAGCACCGATTCTTAAAAATTTCTCACCTTTTTGAACATTTCCCGGAATGGTCTAGCAGAGAAATTCAATTTTCAACAGAACCCATCAAATCATTTTAGGACATTAACCACACAAAATGACCATCGGCTGCACTAAATCCCATCGTAATTTGAAAATTAAATTTTTCCGTACCAATAGCTTCAATGTCTTTTGAAATTTTTATGTGAATCTCCCAAGGAAGCAATTTTTCCTCTCAATTTCATGATGATTGAAATCGATAAGAAAATAAAAGTTTTATTTCCTTTCGTGTCTTTTTATTTCTTCATTTTTCCCTTTCACTTGTTTAAAATAAAAACTTTCATTCGAAAATAAAAGCCAGCAGGGAGTAAAAGGCAATTTCAACTGATATAACTGTCGGTTATTGGTGGGAAACTTTGAGCATTAACACCGATTGCTGTAATCATTCATGAAAATAAAAACCTGGTATGAGCCTCAAAATGGTTATGCATGTGTGTGTGTGTGTGAATGATGAGGGGTAGTAGGCATGACCCACGAAAGCTCAAAACGATTCATTTTAATGCTTCAAAAAGAGAGTTTAGGATCAAATTATAAAATATCCGTATTCAGTTATTTGTGTCCTGCTCAAAAGCTTTGAATATATTTTATATGTGCGATTGTCATCCAACCAAATACGCAAGTTTTTTGGGGAATATGAAGATAAAATTACAAAATTAAGACAGGGGGAAAGCAACTAGGTGTAAAAAAAATGATGTAAATTTGACTACGCTGCTGATTTTCTATAATTTTTTTAATTGGTTTACAGCCATTATTTTTTGGTTTTCAGACATTATTCATTGATTTTCAACCACTTCCATTTATTTTCTATCCATTTTTCAACTACTTGTTTTACTTCTAGTTGTTCTCCCCTTTCTGTCTAAAGATTAAAATAAGAAACAAATTTTTCCTCTTCCTATTCAGTTCTGTTGTTGCTGATGGTAATAAATGTTGAATTACAAAGACATTTTCATCTAAATTGCGATTTATTTACGTACGAGATATTAAAAGAAGCACAAGTCTTCTTCTCACTTCTGATAGGTTTCATGTTGAACAACCCCGATCGGCACACATTGAAATGTTTGTCACTTAGCGGCTGGGCTAAAAGTATAATTTAAACTAATCCGCAGACGCTTGGAAGCAATTTACAACTGGATTTCAAGTCTTTGTCACGTGGCTGCAGCTTGGCTCTAATTATACCGCAAGAAAGAATGTGTGCCGATCGGGAACGGAATTGAGAAGAAAATTTTTTAAAATGGAACAGAGACAAAGAAATTATGAGACGCAAGTGGTCTCATGATGCTATAAATGGTAACAAGATGATAAAGATTCGCTTTTATAATCGTGGCGAGCTTTCGTTCTTATTTTTTTTTGTGATAAGATTTTTTTTATATCGTCATGCTATACCTACTAAAATTTATGAAGCGCATAGAGTGAGGAACAGAAAAAAAAGAAATTAATTGAAGTGTACACAAGGGACAGGTGGAATGAGGAAGAAAAAAAAGAAAATTTCATCTAAAATATTTATTTTGTTCTTGATACTTGATGAAAGTTAAAGCTCAGGTGTAGGACATAGTAGCAGCTTGCTGTGAGCTATGAGTGACAAGATTTTTTTTAAACAAATTGCATAAATTATGCTTTTGATGAAGTTTATGTGCGTCATGCTGGATTCTTGTGATACCTTTTTCAGTGAGTTTTACCGCGATTTGTCGACTTTTGTTTATAGTAATGACCGCTGTTTTTATTCGCAATATTTTTAATAGGATTTTTTTTGCCTATTTTGAAAATATAAACTTCTAAATTATCTCACCCTCCATCATGCCACTGGTCTTTGTGTTTGATTGCTTTTTCACAGATGGTCTTCTTTGTTGCTAAAGTTCCTCACAGTGCGAGCTTTGGTGGAGAAACGAAGTCAACCATTTAGAATTTGGGAACAAGCTGTGTCTATAGAAGCCTCAATAAACTCAAAATAAATTCAGTAAATTCAATAATAAATTCAATTAAAGTTTGAGCCCAGGATTCTTAAATTTTGACTGATACTTTGACCAAGAACTTGTCAAGAGCTATCAGTGGCTCCATACTCTCCTGAAAGTTAAATAATACTTTAACCTCAAAGTTTAAGCTATAAGTTTTATACAAAAGCGTAGAAAATCTCTTGTGGCTTCAAAAACCAGCTTCTGACATGTTCAGTTTCTCACCTCAACCCTTACAGTACCCAGGACTGTCTAGTCAAACTCCACTTTCAAGCTGATTTCATATAAATTAAAAATAATTCAATAACAATTCTTGATGGTTCTTTTAAACTTCTTCTTTAAATTCTATTTCTCAGAAAGCTCAAAGCACCTGAAACACTTTGAAAGCCTCTCCACAATAATTGAATCTATTACGCATTTAATTGGACAGTAGAAGACGAAAACTTTACGATGAAAGATAAATAATTGGTTATACAAACAATTTCAATGGTCTGCTTCCAATTTTAATAGACTGAAAATTGAAAATTAGTTTTTAAGTGGCAAGTTTATTTGTTTTGGTAGATTCCGTTTGTGAAATTTAAATAAAATATTAGCTTGTAGACATTTCGATTATAATTAATTTACAGCAAACATAATTTATTTCGTTTCATTAAAATGTCTAAGATGTTTCAGCTTATAATTCAATATTTTAGGATGATAATGAATTTTCAACAAATTTATTTCAAAGTTTATTTAACTAAAGCCGAAAATTTCATGTTTATTGACAATAAATTAATCATTTTAAGATATTTAATAAGTTTGTTGTGCTGAGTTTCAGAGTTGCAATGCAAATAAAATTTCTTTTTATTGCCAATCAATTTCTAGGCTTTTGTATTGTTTTTAAAAATTCATAGGCTGACGTAGCTTGCCGAATCAATTCAAAATAAATTTACAGCACAAAAATAGAAAAGTCAGTGTTGACAGAACCCAAAGAAATATTAAGAAAATTGCCTAAAACCGCACAGTTATAAATAAAATCGACATTGTCTACGTCAATAAAATTTAATTTTACACAAAATATATCTAAATTAGATTACAATGTAAATTTGCTGCCAGATTAGATTAGATGATAAGACAATGAGAGCAGATAAACAAAAACTATTTACAGAACTGAAATGCCACAAAACTTTTAATCGATTTTGTCTTCTTCAAGCTTGTTCTAGGCTCGAATCCTAACATCATTTATTATTAATATGGCAATGTAGATAAAAACTTCTTTCAATAAATTGTTTATTTGTCACAAAATATCTGTTTATGTGAATTGGTGATAGCTTTATGAGGGGTCGACTGTAGTTAATGTCTTACATCCATGAGCGTAGTCTGGAATTTGAAGTGAGGGGAACAAAACAAAAATTTGGGTGAGGGTTGGGGGGGGGGGGGCTATCAACTTTCAAGATTTTGTCATGAAAACCTTAGCAAAATGAAGAAATTTCAGTTGACAAAGAGAGTTTTGTCTCCCGAATTGCCCCTGGCTACTTGCCTGTCTACATCTGAGATCGAAAGTAGTAAGGCAACACAATGCTAGTTCGAAAATTGCATATTAATCCTTGATTGTCATTTATTTGCTTTCTATTAATGAGCTATGCTTGAAGCTATAAGACAGTAACTCTAATCAATTGACATCATTTACGTCCAACCCCCCTTCTCAGAGTCTTTCATAATTTTATAATAAATACATTTAATGAATAATTTTGTTCTTTATGAATAAAACTAAGTCTGCTAATAAAAAATTCATTGATTTATGTCTTTAATCTACCAATAATTGGAACTGACTTTATGTCTTAATATCTCTGATTTATTGCTAATTTTGTTGATTTATCGACTTCGATAAAATATGCTCGGTGATTTGGAAAATTATATTAATATTTTCCTTATTTCTTGTCAAAATATCCCGCAGGAGAATTTCTGCATGACGCATATCCAGAACAGCAGGTATGAGTCGGATTTAATGGGGAATAATCATCAGATTTTCTTTGTAATTTGATTCATGAAAAGAAATTCTTGTTTTGGATATTCTCATTTCTAAAATTGTATTAATAATTTTATAGAACTTTTGGGAATGTCTTTGTGAATGCACAGAAACCATACCGCCTAGGATTACACAAATTGCATCAATTTAATCAAAAATATTTTGACTTACTCTAATTTATTTGTTCCTTGTGTGCCTAAAACGTGCCTTGATGTTATTGACTTTGATGTCTGCTCTTGCTTTAGTTGCTGAACTAAACGTTTAACATAAAATGCTGAGGATACTCAGCAGCAGTAGCTATGAAGCTCTTTTTGCCAAGTAAATGATGCACTGTGAGAATTCTTCAATCGTTCTTTGGATATTTAAAGAATCGTAGTTTGATGGGAATCGAACCCATGGCGCCACAAAATAGTGTTCAAGACTTCCAGTCTGTTGCTTAACCACTTGGTCACAAAGACTTTGTTTTCGCATAGACAGATTCTCTTATTCATAGCTGGACATCTCAGATTCTACCCTGTTCTAAAACCAAATTTGTTATGCACCTCTATGATGACAACTCTGTCTAGAGTCTATTTAGATAAAAATTATCAAAAATTTAAAAAAATTTTATCATTTCCTCTAGTTATCCGCAAAATACATATTTATTAATATTCCTGATAACATATCAGTACTTCATACAATCATCCTCAGGCACGTTCGATTCTCAATTTTGCTTTTACATTTCAGTAGTTTAACAACCATGAAAGCCAAAAAGCTGTTTGTGATATTCGCTGTAATTCTTTTATCAATTCAGGCGATATGTGGACAAGCAGTATGGCACGGTTTTCCATTTACTGTCGCTTTACATTCACAAAGTTCGCGATGCACAGGATCGCTGATAAGTCGTCGGGCTATTTTAACAATTAGTGATTGTCTCATAGAATCAACAACTTTAGTTATTCTCGGTGCGGCAGATGCATCGTATACAGACGAAAGCACACAAGTCAGATTTCATGTTGGCGCTGAAACTTACAGACATGACCCAAATTCGCCATTAGCAATCATCAGATTTTCACCTCAAATTGCATTTTTCAATAACTACATAAACCAAATAACGATTCCATTTTCAACACCAGATGCTCTTTATGAGGACGTTGATGCAACAGTTCTTGGATTTTTGGAAGAGCCCGTAGTGCCAGATGCTGTTTATTCATGGAGAGTAAGAACGATTCAAAATCAAGATTGTACGATTGCACATCCAGATATTGAAAGCGAACACATTTGTGTTGCCGATGCTTTACATTGTATCATAAATTCCGGCTCACCTTTGGTGTTCCTTAATAACAGTAGATTTGAGCAAATCGGAATCGTTTTTCGTTCGAATCGATGTGGTGGGGGAAATAATCGTTCAATATTTTTAAGGATCACACCTTTCTTCAATTTCATAAGGGCAAACATGTGAATATGGATGAGGGTAGCGATGAAAATGTATGGTTATTGGATATTTATTGAAAGCATTTGAAAGACTAAGAAGAAGCAAAATTGTGGATTGTTATTTATGGATGTTTTATGAATTTCCTTTTAAATCTGTGAATATTTGCTTTACTGAATAAAAATTGATGGGAATTAAATGAACTTAAAGAGATTTATTTTATGAGATAGGAAATTGTGAATATTTTTAAAGTGATTTATTTTGTTTCATTGAATTTTTTAAAAAATAAAATTTTAATATGACGTTATTCATATGGATCCTCGATTGGAGTAGATTCGGTTTGAACAGGATTTTTCTGGAACAAAATACTTGCTCAAATCGAGGAACCCCCTTTTTAGAGTAGGATCCTTACAGAAGCTGATATCATTAGAATAATTAAAGTAAATAGGCTCCGATAGCCTGAACATGTTATAAGGAGACCTATAGTAGCTCCATTAAATAAGATCTTCAAAACAGACTTTGTAGATGGCAAGAGAGCACGTGGAAGGCCAAATAACTCATGGAAACAGGCTTTTGATACAAAACAGTATTGCATTTGGTATTGCAAATTGACAAGAGGTAGCCAGCGATAGAGCTAGCTTTAGGAGCCATCTGAGGGAGGCCATGGATCAAAATTTATCTGTAGGGTCATCTATGCAAAGAAGTAAGTAGTTGTATGCAATATAGTGACTTTTCTGAATTGGCTAGTAATGTCAAACCGATAAACTACTAAAGTATTATTTCAACACCATTTTGATGAGACTAGGATCACGTCACACAGTTTTAGAACCACTGCATTAGACGAAATAGAATTATTGCATTAAAGCTTTAACTTCAAATTCAAAGTTTTCTACAATATTTATTCCTAAAATAAGATCAAATACATTTCAGTACTCATTAGTCTGTGTCAGGTGGCAAAAAATTCATTTTACCTTAATGTCATTCAGAGAGCAGCCTTTAGAAATCATTCCAGAAAACTTCAAGCTCTATTTCCCTTTAAGAATGCTATTAAAATATGCTTGAATCAAGTAAGCAGCAGCAGCAGCTTGAATACATTAAATAGAAGAAAAATTATTTCAATTTTTTTATTTTTTTCTTTCAATAAAATTTCATCTGAAATTCATCTCAATATTTATTAAGTATATGGAGAATAGAAATGTAATTCCATAATAAATTATCATCCGCAGAGCATATTTTGAAGCTTTTTTTTTGTTTGGCTTCTCCACAATACAAGAATGAATAATTAGATGAAGGCAAAGAATTTCCTTTTTCTAGCATGATAAAGTCTTTCTAATGCAAGGGTCTCTTTTACTTAATATAATCATTCATTCTCAACATTGCCTGCTTGTAATTTTTTATCCGTCAAATGAAATTAAATACATTGACAATTCTCCTCAAGATATAAATTTTCTTTCTAAAAATGTGGAGATGGTAGAGACTTTATTATGCCATTACGTGACTTCCACCAAATCCTTTTCTTCTCTTCTCCTTCTTCCGTCTTATGCTCATTTCAATTGAAACCCAAGAATTTACGATTTCTTTGGGGCTTCGATAATTTTTCTTATTATTTGTTTTTTTTCTTCTATGATTATTTAACATATACATTAAGATAGACTTGACTGTAAGGATGAGAGACGCTGAAAGATGAATTGAGTTTACCAAGAAAGATTACTGGACTTTTTCGAGGATCTGGTTTGGGTTCGTTCACTTATTACGTAACGCACTAGGGGGGGAGGGGGGGTCTAAGATTTTGTTACGGTTTGTTACAGGGGGAGGAGGGGGGGGGTCTAAATTTTGTTACGTAACTTTTCAAAAAATATATTTTTTTAAAATTTTTTCTATATTAATTTTAAATTTTTTTAACGTTAAATTTTAACTTAAGAACTTTTTAGCAGAGATCGAAGCCGATTTATTTTTCGGCTTAACTCAATTTTTTTTTATTATTATTATTATTATTATTACATGCTTTTTATTGAGTTGCTCTGTCTGTTGGTTTCTTTGTCACGTTCAAAACTTGCAATCGATTTTTCGACCACTTCTGCTGCTCCAATCGAGCTCAAATTTTTTATTCACACGTATTCCCGGTGACAATACAATATTTTAACATTTTGAAACCACAAAAATGCTTAATTATAGTAAAATTTAAGTAAAACTTTTTTATATGGGAAAACAATCCAATGTCAATGATATAAAATTTTGATTTGTTTAAAATATTATACTTGAAATGCTCAAAAGTCATTTATGTGATTCATTATAGTTTAATTAATATTACTAAATATTAATTGCACTATAAATTTGAGCAGCTAAAGATATTCCGGTAAGACAAAAAAATTGACATGTAATTTTTTCATGAATATTCGTAAGTGAAAATTTGAATTTTCAAAAAAACCGTGTAGCACAAGTCCGTTACGAATTAATGCAAAATAACTATTCATATGAGATATGCATTTAGCACACATAGTTTGAGCATATATTTATGCTGTTTTTAATGTATTACATTATTTATAAAACTTCACCAACTTAATTAAATTTACTTTTCTATTTATTAACGGCTTGAAGTATATTTGTATATAAACACAAAATCTCCAAGATTCATTTTTAATGTCCTTTACTAATGAATGTTTTAAAAGCACAGAAAGCGCACATAATTGAAGTTCAGGATATTTTTTAAGAAGTTTCAACTGTTTCCAGGTATGACTTAAATTCTATAAAACAAATGAATGAACAAATGTAATCTATAAACAGTTGAACGAAACGGAGTAAAACGAAGTGGAGTTGAATTTGAATTGCTGTGGTCGATATTCGATTGAAAGATTGAGACTAAAAAGTAGCAAATAAAAAAAATGTTAAAAAAACTTTTTAAAAAACACGCTTTTTCCCAAAGACTTAAAAAACAAATAACATTTTTTCTTGAAGTTAAATCTGTTGTTTAGACTAAAAACCAAGCGACCAAAACAGGAGCAAATAAAAAAACGTTAAAAAAACTTTTTAAAAAACACGCTTTTATCAAAAAGACTAAAAACCAAAAGGTTGAAAATAAAATAAGATCACACTTTTAGCAAATCAGGATTTTAAAAGTTTTCTTGTGACAACTAGAAATGTAACATAAATTTTTTTCAAAATATTCTGATTAAGTCCAAGAACACAATGACTCTATAAGCGTGGGGCGTAATTTAAGGATGCATTTCTTAGTTCAACTAAGTTCTTAAGTAAGAGAAGCGTCAAATCTCAAAGCCCCACGCTTTTCGAGTCATTGTGTTCTTGGACTTAATCACAATATTTTGAAAAAAACTTATGTTACATTTCTAGTTGTCACAAGAAAACTTTTAAAATCCTGATTTGCTAAAAGTGTGATCTTATTTTATTTTCAACCTAAGGTTAAGCCGATTTTAAGCCGAAATTTAAGCCGATCGGCTTAAAATCGGCTAACTTGAAATTCTGAGCTTCCTATAGCTACATGCTGACAAAATGTTACACAGAATCATAGTAAAGCACATAAAGTTCAATTTAAATACTTGAAATGGGTGTTAAATGGCTTTTTTCTATCAAAAAAATCAAAAATTGAGTTAAGCCGAAAAAATCGGCTTCGATCTCTGCTTTTTAGTTATAAGTAAAACTGTTTATTTTACATACTTAAAGGAAGTATAATAAACATTTGATAAACAATTTAAATGAAAAAAATTATTGTTACGTTATGGGGGGGGGGGAGGGGGGGTCTAAGATTTTGTTACGCTTTGTTACAGGGGGGGAGGGGGGGGGTCTAAAAACTCGTTTTTTTGCGTTACGTAATAAGTGAACGAGCCCTTTGTATAAATCATATTTAGTATTTATATGTTGTTGTGCTGATAGAACAATTAAGGGATTGATGAATGGTGGGAATTGAACCTACAGTCTCATAAATTAATGTTTTACAAATATATGAACTGTTGCCTAGCTACAAAGCAATGTTGCTATTCTCAATTTCTTGGATATTTACTTGCATATTCACCTACATATGACTTGATGTTCCAGATAAAATTAAACTTGGACCCCACATAATTCTATTTTATTGGGAATTGCGTCTCCTAGCTACACAACATATTTTTGGATATTCAAAGATTTCTTTTCAGCATCATGAAGCGTAATTAACTGCTATAGAAATGAAATTCATCAAAGGATCTGTTCACTTATTATGTAACGCAAAAATGACCAGACCCTTCACCTTCTTTTGCTCCTAATTGAGCATGATTAAAATCAAACTGTCACAAAATTATTAAATCCTACAGATTTTCTCTAAAACCCGTCACGTAATAAATTAACGACCCCAAATGTGAAACAAGAAATCTCATGTTAATGAATCATTGAATAAAATTAGATTTTATAAAGAAAAATTAAACAAATTTCTAAGTCTTTGAATAAAGATCATGTATAGCCTACACATACTTAGGTATCAATGGAGATCGTAAAGATGAATGGGCGAATTTTTTTTGCACTTAGAAACGAAAAAGAGGATATAGAAATATACTCAGACTGCCCACGAATATTTATCACAATTTATTTTTATGGAAAGACATAAGAAGTAATAAGTATGTAATAATAATATCAACATTAATACTCGAAAAGGGCACATGAGAGAGAAGCAAATGAAATTGAAAAGGAAAAGAGGCTTTTCATGTTATCTGGTTCCTTTCAAAATGTGAAAACAAAGAAGAACTGCGAAAGTTTTAGAAAATATTGAATGTATGAAATAAGACGTACATTTTGGAAAGTTGTAGCAGTTTTTGTAGTTTGAGGCTGATTTTACTAGGCGATTCTTGATTTACATAAAGTTTTTCGGTCTCAAAAAGTAATTCTAAGCTTTGAATTTTATACAATGCATGGCCCGATTGGCACACATTGAAACGTTTGCCACGCAGAGACCGGATTGATCGTATTATTAGAACCAAGCAGCAGCCGCTTGAAATCCATTTCCAACAGGACCAAGTGGATGTCACGAGGTTGAATCAATTTCAAATTTTGCTGATCAGGTGGATCATAACCTTATTATTATTATTATTATTATTATTATTATTATTATTATTATCATAACCTTAAATGGAAAGAAGAGCTTATTCACACGATGCACTAATACAGCAGCTGATTATGAACCCAAAAAAAGTCTTTTAATCACGCACTGTATCAATATTCAATTTACAGACAAATGGAGAGCTTTACCGTTTCGTCTAAGGACGAAAGAAGTTTTGTAGAGTGTCACAATTGTAATAATATTTTTACTATTCCACTTTTGTTTCTTTGTTTGAAAGAGCTGTAAAATGATTTTCACTTTCACTCACTCTAAATTACATTATTTTAAACGTATTTATGTGTTTAAGGTAACTGAATGATGAAGGTTAGCTACAAATAAATAAGGAAATTCAAATGTTGCAAGATGGGAAAGAAAACATTTAACCAAAGAAGTCTTGCAAGATTTTCTTACGTCTGCCAAACATAAAATGTTGCAAATTCTTCTCCACATGTTTCTATAGACTTACATTGTTGATCATTTCATTGTGATTCTTAAAAGGTGACTGCATAGAAACTGTTTCCATTTGCCATTTAATGTTGCTGCTGTTGTGTGCTTTATGAAGCTTATTTTTTCTTAAGAACTAAAACCTTACCTTTCAAGTTTAGCAATAACAATCCCGATCGGCACACATTGAAATTCATTGAAATGTTTGAAACCCGGTAGTCGAGTTGATAGTATAATTAGAACCAAGTGACAGCCAATTGGCAAAGGTGGTAACCATGTGCTAACCAATTGACATCCAGTTCAATCCATGTGCCGATCGGGCAACTATTGTAGTGTTTGATATAAAAACAACTTCAATGTCTCTTAATTAAGCATAATAAAATTTAATCGATCGATACTTTACATAGAGCCATAGCTGGCAAGAAGAACAGAACAAAACACGACATTTCAGATTTCATCAAACAATGAAAATAACAACCAATTTTAATAATTTAGATACATATTTATTAAAATATAAGGCATGCTTAATCTAGCTCATACAGTTCAGTATTGAATGTTAAATAAACAAGATCGAATGCTTTTGGAGCTGAAATTTTTGATTTATTTAACTTTCTTAACATATTTGACATTTTGTAAATTAATAATTGAAGCTGAAGAAACAGAAAAAGATGCTCGAATAGTGTCAAAAGTGCTACAAGATGTTGTGGATGAATATATCATTAAACAACATTTGCAACTTCATTTAATTATGATGGAAAATTATTCATCTCAATTGTCGAATGTTTTTGATCATTTTGCTTCCAGCAACAATGGAAATTTTCAGTACAATATTGAAGTTTATGACTTTAAATATCAACTTTGGAACTTATTAAAATCTATTGTGGTTTTTGTTGATTCGATTGAAGACTTTGTGATATTTTCGCACATGCATCAGGTCTTTCATAATTCATATGAGCTAATAATCATAATTGTTTTTATTCGGAACCTCACATTTGTCGATTTTAGTAAATTCATAGAAATTAATCAAAAAACTGTTACGTTAGTGAATCCCAACTTTTATTCCGGATATTTCATTACAAACGAAGCTGAAACTATAATTTTATCTACAACGGAGTGGTTTCGTTTTGAAGCGTGTGATGATCAATACTTAAAAAAAGTCAACATTTTTGACAAGAAACTAATGAAATGGGAAACAAAACTGAATTTTGAAGAAAAATTTATGAGTTTTTATGGATGTGAACTTGGGTTGATGCTCCCAATCAATAAAGATCAAGATTTACCTGAACATCCATCAGGATATGCTCAATTTGATACAAAGAATGATACTTTCCGGGTTCACGGTGTGGTTCCATTGATTTTCGAAATTGCAGCTCAATATCACAACTTTTCTGATGTGCATATTCCAGCTTTTATGTCTGTGAACTGGTTTGACAAAACAAGAAATTCATATAACGATTTAAAATTACTTGAGAATTCATCAGTTTCAAATCTTTATTTCGAATTAATTGGTTCCGATTATTTGCACATTTTTGAGTTTAATTTGCAGTCGTCAATGGATGTTACTAACAAAAAGATTCAAATATTTATTAGAAAAATTGATGACTATTCACAATTGGACATATTATGTTTCATCTTTGCACCACAAACATGGATTCTTTTAAGTCTTTCGACTTTATTAATTTGCCTTGTTGTTTATTTTACGAACAAAATGGTTAAAAACAAAAGTAACTTACATTTTAAGCATACAGTTGTAACTTCAACATGGATTGTATTCGCAATACTTTTCGGAATGCCTCAGAAAAGACTTTCTAAGAAGAAATGGATGAGATTCATATTGATGGCATTTGTAGCTTTATGCTTATTCTTTCGAATGAGTTTTCAGAGTGGATTGTTTGGATTCATGACAAAAAAGCTTGAACGTCAGCCTTTTAAGACTATTGATAATCTGATTGACAATGGATATGAGTTTTATGCAGTTGACCAAACTCCTTATTTTATAATTGATCCTTATTCGATTAGCAAATCGAAGCAACGGTAAGTTATTGTTTTCTGATTTTGACCAATTCTTATTTGACAAGTTCCTTTATAATTCTTAACTTTTCTTGTCTAATTCTTGACTAATTCTTATCTGATTCTTGACAAATTCATTTCTAATACTTAAGTATTCTTGTCTAATTTGGTCTAATTGTTCTTGTTCATATGGGGTCGTTCACTTATGACGTCCAGGAGGGGGAGGGGGTCAAGAAGAAAAGAACAATAGAAATTCCTGAAAATCAATGTTTTTTTTTGAAAAATGACAGTTAATTCCGGACGACATAAGTGAACGACTTCTACTTGATTCTTGACGAATTCATTTCTAATTCTTAACTTTTTCTTCATTTTCATTTTTAAGGCCAAACATCACTAAGGTTGATGTTTTCGCCTTTCAGGAATTACTCACTACACAACAACAGAATTCTTCAGACAAAATTGCTTTATTTATGGATAATTTCATTCAAGAATCAACAAATTTTGATCGATTTAGGAACGAGTGGAATCCAATTGAGGAAGATGTAAGCATAAACCAAGTTTTTGTATTCAAAAGTTCAACTTACTACCTGCTGATAACAACAATTGATAATTTGATTACGAATGGAATTATAAAGTATTTGATCGATCGTCTCGACGATGCGCATTGGATGTCTAGAAAAACTGAACTTGTACCAAAAATATTGGATTTATGGGATTTCATTTACTGTTTTGGAATTTATTTAGTTCTTTGTATAATGTCAATTATTGCATTTATTATTGAGTTGAAAAGACCACCTGAATATGTGCCTGATCATCGGAAGTTAAAGTTTGCTAAAGTTCATCCAACTGATGATGAAGGTATTCGAGATCACATTCAATTAAAGAAGAAATTTATCAATCATTTTCAAATTAAGCATTCGTCACAAGAACAACCTGCTTCAATTAAGCTAGCTGCTGTAGAGTTATCATTAGCTCCAATGGAATATCCTTGCTCATCATTACCATTAAAAGATTTTTAAAATACCGAAAACTTAAATAAATTTTATTGCTTGGGAAAGTTAATCTTCAACAATGATCAGAACAACAACATAAGAATCGATTCTGGCTACGTCTTTTAAAAAGACGTAAATTTTGACCTTGAGAACAAATAGAAATAATGTAGGATTCAAAACAAGGCTTTATCGATTGAGGATGAAGAAGCTCTTAACAGATAATCCCCCATGTGACGCTTTAACAAGCTGATTTACGTTGGGCCTGTGGTATATAAAGCATTGTTTATCTTGATTAGAGTTTGGAAGAAAAATCTAAAAGTCAATTTGATTTTCATGGACGACCTTCGCAGAAAATATCTGTAAAAAAATTAAAATCGGCTTATTTTTGAGTGGGAAAAGATATAGGATCTTAGAAGTGTGTCAAGTCGGAAAATATTGATTTAATCTTACTGGAAATTATCTCAAAATCCAGTTTATAACATGCTGCTGCAATAAATATCATCTTGTGCTGCCCATTTTGTTCCTCATGTTCCTAATAAAAATCTGTCAATCTCCAGTTGCTTCTCGTAGAAAGCTCAAAACAGCTTCACCCACATACAATCACTCAATAGGACATTTTGCTACAGCCACATGTAGCTGATTCATCATCCTCATTTATTTATTACTACCTTATTTTCAGCAAATTCATCTTCTTTTATCAAAACCTTCCATTCACTTGTAGATTATATTCCGTACCCAAAAATTTTCCTTCATGCCAGTTTTTTATGATAATCCTTAATGGCGAATGAAATCTGACAGAGGATGAGAAAAAACAAGGATGGAATCAAAAGAATCATATGAATAGTTCACTGACTCCACAAAAATGCAAAGAATATGAATACTTTTGATACCATTAATTGGCATGGAACAAATATTATTGTGTAGGTTGTGTACACAAAAGCATCAGACGGGAAATCATAACAACAAGTAATTGAAGCTGGTTTTAAAGGAATCAAAAACAACCTTTTTATTTTATGAAAATTGCACGAGCAAAATTGAAAACGGAAGGAAATAAATGGTCAGAAAAAAAAGTTCAAACAAATCGCTTTCGTTTCTCCCATTTAACTTTAATGCTTTCGTTCCTTGTTCTTCTCGTTTTGTGAGGATTTAAAATGAAAATAAGGAAAAAGAAAAATTTCATCAAATTTAAGGTTATATTTGTTACTCTCAGTGCTTTCGTCGAAACATTGCCGTGCTGTTTGTGATAAGAAAATGAAATCTTTTACCGTGTGAAGAGCGTGCCAAGCAGAAGAAGAAGACGAGAAGAAAATTAAATAGTACAGGGCTCGACAGGAAATTTAAATGAAATTGTCATAATTTTTTAATGTATAGAGTTTATTTTTAACATGCTTTTATGAGCTTCAAATTTTGAGAATTAAAGGAAAATTGGCAAGTTGTATTTTTGCGAAAAGCAAAATAACGAAAAACAATTTTTACGAATTTTCAAATTTACGAATGTTCATTTTTACGAAAATTTTTATGGGAAAAACTTATAGGATATAATTTGAACCTCAAAAAACCGTTGGATAAAATCAATTATTGAGACAGTTAAAAGTAATTTAATCGTTTAAATGCGATTAGATATGATAAAATAATTATTAAAAGATGAAGGATTAATAGAACTGAAAAAAAGATTTGCATTTATTTAAATGTGAAATATTTTTTCTATAAAAATTTTATTTTGCTATAAAATTTTCTCATGGAATTACCCATAAAACAAGAAAAAATATTACACATTTAAATAAATGCAATTCTTTTTGTAGTTCTATTAATCCTTCATCTTATAATAATTATTATATCATATCTATTCGCATTTAAATGATGAAATTGATGTAAATTGTCTTTTAATGTTTGATTTAACCAACGGTTTTTTGAGATTCAAATTATATCCTATAAGTTTTTACCATAAAAATTTTCGTAAAAATGAACATTCGTAAATTTGTAATTCGTAATAACGGTTATTCGTTATTTTGCTTTTCGGGAAAATACAAAACACTCAAATTTTTTATTAATTTCAATTTTCAAAAGCTTGAAGTAATCATTGAATTTTTTTTTTCATCACGATCCAATCATTTTTAAAAATGACATGAATCAGTCAGAATTGTGAGAGATCATTTAACTTTAAAGTAGTTTGAAGTAAAATCAGTTCCTACCTATCAAGCCTTTTCTAAAGTAGAGAGAAATATAAATAAATCTGTAAGTTAATTAATAAAATAAGAATCCTTAAGCAAAACATTAAACAAATTTACATTGACTAATTAGCAGTCATAAGCAGTTCTAGCCATTTCAACAAAGCAAATAGAAGACAATGTTCAACTTGATGTCTAGCCATAATAGCCTCTAGTTTTGTTGTGTTCTAAATAATCATTTAAGTGGAATCAAAAGCAATTAAACTTCAAGATAGCAATTGAGTTTCAAGATACTGAAAAATGTAGAAGTCTTAGAAACAGGTGAGTCTTTGTTGCTGTTCAGCTTTATTCTGTTTCATGTTTAGGGATACTTTTGGGAATTTGCATTCACATTACCCCAAGGGTGTAGAACTGAAGAATTACATTTTGATCATTTTTTGATAATTTTTGATCACTTTTGATCATTTTTGATAATTTTTTGATAATTTTTTGATCATTTTTGATCATTTCACTTAGTCCTTGATTTTCTTAGCCGAATAGCACAAGTCGGTTAATCAAATAGAAATCAGTCGGTGTCATCTAAATCAAATACAGCACCATATCAGAGTTAAGCTTGCTTGGTGCAGGATTTCTAATCGATTAACCGACTTGTGCTGTTTAGGTTCATTTTGTCAAAATTTTAAGGAAGCGATGCAATTTTCTTGCAAAAAATTCAAAATCTCCCATTCAATAACTTCCAACTCCATATCTGGTTCTTTTTGAAATCTCAACAAAAGCTATGAAAGAAAAAAATTAATTTTAAAAACCACATAAAAGGGAATTCTGTTGAACCCTTAAAGCATCAAACCTTTATGCTTTTTTTTTTGTCTGAAACATTTGTAAAGCGACTTTTTTTTTCTCCAACGTTGCAAATTTTCCATTTCGTGAGAATGCTCATCCGTGGTATTCGTGCAAAAAAATAATTTTTTATCATGTTTCCGCCATTCCCTATGATTATTTTTTTTCTCGCATCCACTTTACTTTTAATGTCTAAAGTGCCGCGTAAAAAGGTCTAAATTGCTCCGAAAAAAAAGCATTTAAATTTTTATTAACTTCCTCTCGATCCTCATTTTTGATGCTTATTATTGTCTCTTTAATTTAATGAGCCAATCTGAGTGCATTTGTGTAGAAAATTTAAGAAAAAAAAGTTTCCTTTCGACGAAGGAATTGAAGTGTAAGGTAATTGCTCATTGAATTACTTTGACTTGTCTCTAAATTTAATAGCATTTACCGTTGTTGTAGTAGTTTAAGACTTAAAAAGCTCACAAAGCCCATTTATTTCAATGATTTCATTTTTCCGCCTATTTTTTTTCTTATTCACTTGCACGTTTCGCAATGTTATGTTTCTATGGCATAAGTTGTTAACAATACATGTCGACATTATACATAGCACGACTTGTGTCATTTTCATTGCCAAAAATGTTCTACTCTCTTTGCTTTTTCAACTTTAAATTGTTGTTCCTGCTTCCTAGCTTGAATTTCTTTAAGTGCTTTTGAAACACTTTTTGTGATGTGAAGTAGCAGTTTTGCTTGATTTGGGAGATCCGCTTATATGGTTAATTGGGAAGTGCTTTAAAATAATCAGGGCATGGTCTGTGGAGCTTGCTTGGGGACCATATCCTAGTCTCAGATCAATCTTATTTATATATTGGATAAAGTCCATTGAATTTCATTCCTACAACAAGGGAGCCAAAGTGCCACAGAATCTGATCTCTGAGATCAAAAGCTATAAAGTTTCAAATTTAACTTTGCTTTAAAATTTATTTTGCTTCAAACCAATCTTCGTAATAATTTAAATATAGTAAATAGCCATCAGGAACTCTTTAAATATTCTATATCCTCCCACAAAAAAAAAATATTATCATGACAATCTGTATTGTTATTGAATCCTAAGGATATTGTTTTTAGATTCCACGCTTTTTGATTTTTTTTCTTGCAAATCATTGATTATTGGGTTGGCTGAATCAATCAAGATGAATTAAAGATATAATTGCTTGGGGATATTTATTTCTTGAACATTCTAAAGAAGCTTTTGTTGCTAGACATAAAGTAGATTGAGATGAAAAAAAACTGGTTTTTACTGATCTGGTCTTAAAAATAATTTGTAATGGCAGGTAATAGCTAATTGAGGGTATCTTTTCACAAACTTAGAGATATTGCGCTAGGTTTTTATCTATTGCATAAGCTTCTAGCTGGTTCCAGTCTTAGAAAGAGATTCGAGCAAAGCACCTTACCTATTCTACCAGCAAGGCACTTAACTGCCCTATTTCTTTTTAATTTCATTATTAACAGACTTTTAGGGTTTACAACCCCGAGATTTAAATGTACTGAATCCTACATGATTGATCTCTGGATTACATACATTTCAATCACGGCATTGATAACCATACGGACGTCATTAGTGACTCTAGAAAGTCGTTTGTAAAATAAAATCAAAAAAATGCGCATCTTAATCTTAAAAAGTAAAACCACTTACAACTTTATAATTTGCATGATTTCTTAAGAAATCCTAAATCCACCTTGATATGTTCAGTCAAAATAATAGCAGTAGAACATGAAGAGAAAAAAAAACACTAAACTTAATGCAATATCATACAACGATTTACATAACGAATGCTGAAAAGTTGAAAGGATTTCCATACACACAAAAAAAGTAACTTTAAAATAAAAATAATACAAAAGAGATCATGAAGAACGTGCACATGAAAAAAAAAGTTTTTATATTCATCTTATCGCGCTTACATTGAATGAATGAGTTGATAGTTACATTGTATTATCATAAAAAAATTCGCTCCCCCTTTTTTTCGCTTCCTCATACTT